ATTTTATTAAAGCGGAATGAAGATGAATGAATTAAATATGATAAAGCATAAATGATTAATATTTGTTTATTTGAAAATTAATTATTGATTTAAAAAAGCTTTTCCATAACATATACAATCTAAAATTTCATTTTATGTAAAATTCTATGAAATGTATTTTTATATTTCTAAATAATTGCCAAAAATCAAATGTTTTACAAGAATTGAAAAAAAACTTCCAAATTTGTGGTGCAAGTCACGCACTTCTTTGTTAATTTGTTTCAGGATCAGATGATCAAATTACAAAACTATTATGTCGGATGCGTAATTGGAAAAGTTTGCGGGCAGACTTAAACAAGTAAGTTTGTGCGGAGCTTTTGTTTCTGCTGCACCTTTTCTTTTCTCTCGTCTTTTGAGAATATCATTTAACGTAATTACGAAAAGTTTTCCCGCGACAAAAGCCTTTCAACGCTCCATAGATATAATGCTATGGCAACAAAACGTTAGCGTCTCTGCAGATGGAATTGCAACTTTCCGGGAGGAGAGCATTTTTAGAGCTTAAACCGAGGAGAGGTGTCAAGTGACACGCTACGTTTATAAGAGAATATAATGAAGCTGCATCCCATATTATAATATCAGTTTTCAATTTTGCTTCGGATTTTGCTACAATGTCCAGGGAAATGAAGCAGCAGAGAATTTTCATTATTCAAAAATAATAATAATCAACGAATAAAACTATTAATAAAAAATCTTTTTTTAAATTTATAGTTTTGATTAATATTTACCATACTTAGATAAAAATGCAAAATTGCAAAAGATAAAAATTAATCTAATAATAAAATTCCCAAAGAACAGCTATCTCTGGCGCCAACCATTTCCCCCATTCATTTGACCCCAATAATTAATTAACAAAGTGATAAAAATTTTGATAAGAGAACTGCAAAAATTCATCCGGATCGTCTGCTTGAATTAATAAATTGTGTTTAATTCCAGTTCTCTTTAAACTGATTAAATCTCTCATTTGTACCTGGGAAAATAAGAAGCACCCGCCCACCATAAATAAGACAGGCAATGGCACCGAAGCTGTTTTTTTTTTTTTTTTTGCGGAGAGCCGCCAGTGCCCAATTATTTCGCAGATCGACCGGCGGAATAATTGCAAAAGGAATTTCGAGAGGTGATCTAGTTTGAATGAGTGCGGCCACGCCTTACTCTCCGCAGCGAAAATTTGAACCGGATGCCGCTTTGGAGATCGAGCGACGTCGAAATAAATTAAATCGGCCGCACTCTTGTGATGCTCGCGCGTCAATTTCCCTAACAAAGCTGCGGCCGTGCGGTAAATAGAGATGTTACAATAATAAATTATTTACTCTTGTGTACACTCGGCGAATGTGCCCGCGGCGGCCGATTTTTTTCGTCCTCGTCATCTCTCACGACGAGCGAATGTACGAACCGGCGGCGGCGTTCGAGACTGGATTTTCTGCCCACAAATCACCGCGGCCGAGTGACACTTTGCTCGTAGTTTTCCACAGTGAAAAATAAAAAACGCCGACCTTCCCGTGCAGCATTCATGTGGCTTGGAAATGTCGCGACGTTTAAATCAAATGAATGTGACTTAGGTCAGGATTGATATAAAAAAATCATTTAAAAAAACTATTATTTACAAAATTATCATTTTTTCAACTTTCTTCTCTGAAAAGAGTAATTTAGACATCAGATTTGGTTTTTCCTACACCAAAAACATATTAAACGACACCCAACATGATATGCCTGAAGATGACCTTTTTCAGGGTATCACTCTAATAAGAAAAACCTTCAATATTTTGTCATATTTTAAATTTAATAAAATTTCGGAGTAAAAAAGTTAATATCCCCTTTTTGAACAAAAATCAACACAACTAGATTTTTTTTAAATTAACATTTATATTTCAACCATGCTCTTTAGGAACAATTGAATAGCTTTTCCAATAATTTTTTACCACTCTTTACTATTGACAATTCCGACGATGGTCTTAAAAGCTAAAAAAAGTCAGCTCGGCACTACCGTGGTGTAATAAAAATTCCTGCAAGACCGATTTACTTTACGGTACATCGCAGATGAAAAAGATTTCCAATGTTGGCCGGTCGAGATGTGTGCTCGCGAATGCATGCATGTTGTGGCGCTGGTTGCTCTCTTATGTATGTGTGTACTAACTTGAGGTATATATCGAGAGAGCCGGCTTTAGTATCAGTTCATTGGCTTCCCACGCAATCCGTCTGCAAACACCGGCCGGCTGTCAGCGGCGAGAGTTCGCAGTGCACCGCAACCTCGAAAAATCCTTGAAAATCAATTAACCGTCGCCTGAGGTTTTTAATTAATCCGCGCAACCACCGCTGCTTTTCGATTTATGGCCATCCCGTCGGCGCGGGAGTTCAAATGCAATGGAATTATTGAACTAATAAAACGTCATTAGCACCATTTATTGGAGTTAATTAACTCCGGTTCATGCAATGCTCGCTCTTGTTGTGGTAAAGATAAATAAGCCAGGTGATAATGACTCTAGTTGAGGTTGAATTATTACAAGCAAAATAATAAGATTATGAAATATTAGCAGAATTTCAGAATATCACAATTTTTAGTGTGCAATTCGTCTTCTCATCCAAGAAAACGTATAAAAAGACATACAACATGCCCAACCTTAGAAATTTAACTTCAACCCTTAATTCTGCTATGATTTCAGGAAGGGGTCATTACATTAAAAAAATTGAGTTAGGTAATAAATGCGTGTTTTTCAACACCATAAATCTTTATATGAGGCAGACAAATACGAATTTTTAAACCTTAGACTGATCATGACAAAATCACTTAAAAATTAAAAATGCAGGGTTTTTAGTTTCCCCTATGAATTATCAAAATTTTGAGTATTTAATTCATCTTTTCACGCAGGAAAACATATAAAAAGACACCCAACATGCCCTACCTCTGAAGACCTTACTTTGACCCTTTTTCAGGTATGCAAAATTAACCTTCAGGGCATTTCCATTATACTAATCGGAGAATGGCCGAGTTTGGTATCAAAACGTATGCATTGGAATAAGAAAATTCCAAATTTGAGGTTGCCAAAGTCGAAATCTTAACCTAGAGTCTGTTAGAAACAAATAGGAAAGATAAAAATGAAGATTGTTTGCTTTGCCGGTGGTCTTGGTCGGTCTGTGGTACACGTGTGGCCCGGCGGCTACATGACAACAAGTGAGAGGCAGCGAGCTAAGTATGCACATACCTGGCTGGCCCCTTATTTTAATATCAGCCAACTAGCACTTCTTCTCGTTATCTTACATGCCCGGTCGGCGAATTAAAAAAAAAGAGAGCCGGGTCAACGACATTCTCCGCTCTCGCGGCCGCAATCGTTCTTTCGCCTCCTCCGCTCACTGAATGAAATTCCTGCGACCGCTACACCAAGCATGCTCGCGGCCGGACAATTGATTTTGCAATATCAGTCACGAAGCACCGCAGGCGATGCGAATTTTTCGCCGGTGACCCAGGATGAAAAATAATTCGCTCACGCACGTGCCTGCGTGTCCAGGGCTTGGAAAAAATTAAAGAAGCTCCCAATGGGGTTGAATGTTAAAGGGTCACCCCGCAATATGTACAAAGTTTATAACTAATCACGATGAAAAGCCGCTTATGTAAAAAAATTTAAAAAAAAAAATGGCATAACGTTTACAGCAAAGCATCATCTTTCATATTGACCTGATTTGTGAAGAATGAAGAATAAACAACAATAAATAATATTTTAATACTTAAAAAATTTCCAAAAAGGGCAAAATTTTTTACGGAAAAATATTATTGGAAATAATAATCTTTTGTGTGTAAATAAAAGCTTAATAAAATACAGCTGGAAATGAAAAATGTCAATATACTTTTTCTACAAAAAAAAAGGTTTAAATCACCATTGGTTTATTTGATACTCTGTAACGCCAAACATCAAAATTTCAATGTCTTAATTATTTTACTGATCATTTCTTCTATTACGCTATTAATAACGTTGGTGTACATTAATAATTTCTTTCATTATTTAAAATCTTAATTTACGCATATTTAAATAATTTAGTAAATTTTTTAGGATGAATATAATTTTTCTTTTAGATTGTGCTTTTTAAGATAATCAGGTGGATCAGTAAAAATAACCGCTTAAAATACCAGACTCAAATTCAATCTGACTGGAGTGTAATAATTGTTATGTTTAATACATAATATTATCTTCATCTAAGTAATATTTAATTGAGCTCCAAAAAATTTGCACTTTATTTAATTTTTAATACTTATCTTTACATACATGTAATTACGTAATCCTCATTTTAAATAATTTTACAAGTTTTCAAAACTACTTTTAAAAAAATTGTTTTTTGAGCAATTTGATAGATTAAATTTGCGTTCATTATTGAAGCTTGATTTCAAATTAAAATATTTAATTAAATAATACATAACTAAATTTCAGTTTATCCTAATGATCCTTTTTTTTAATTTCAGTTTAGTTATGAAATGGCTACAGATCTCGTAACCACTGATATTATATTTTTGTATTATGAACTGCCACTTTTCAAAATTTTTATTTATTAAAATTAATTTTTACAATCAATAATTTTGGTAGAAATTGAAATTCATTCAATCCTTATAGAGTTGAAATAATTTTGAGGGAGTATAAAACGATCTATCAAAATCAGATAAAACGTCAAAATAAAATTTATGTAATGTTTTCTTACTTTCGAGCCGGAAATATGAAGCGCCATTTTCATCATGAAATCACAATTGAAATTGCAAAACGGATTTGCACGAAAATTGAATTTGTCTTTCGGAAAGCGTTCGTTCTAATCGCGTCCGAAGCGTGTCCGAGAGCCGAGTTAGACGCTACGGCAAAGGGAGCCGCGAGTGTACGAGCACGAGGCCAGCTGATAATAGTAAAAGCACAACACGAGGAGTGAATGAAGTGAGCACCAAAACGTGCTCCGTTCGAAGGGCCTGTTTGGCCGCGTCGGGGCCTTACCTGCATTGAATCGGCGCCCACGACCTCGCCGCCGAACTTCTTGGCCAACTCGATGGCCAGCTTGGACTTTCCGGTGCCGGTGGCACCTAAAATCACTACCAAAGGCACTCGCGACCACATTTCGTCGTTCACTTCCATGCCTGCCATTGAAAACTGAAAACAATTGAGCGTCGACAGACACGGCCAGTGCGGGTTGAGCTGCCGGCGAATTTGAACGCAAAAGGCGCGAAAACGGCATGAAAGTCACGTTGGATCAATACACACGACGAGACTTGAGTTGCCGGCAAATTCATGCAAATCTTCTTTTTCATTGTGTTCATTTTTATCTCTGCTCCATTTTCTTATAGTTTTTATTTGCATATTTTTTGTATTTATCAACTTATTACTTATAGCAAAATTAGTGAAATGATGTTAATATTGGATAATGGATTGAATAGCTTTCAAATCCTTATATTTTATATTCAGTATTTTATTTTTATAATCATTTCTTATATCTATAGGGTTGGAAGTAATTTGAAATAAACAAGGTGCAGTTTGGTTGATTATTTGCAGTTTTTATTAATCAACTAAATATGATTATATAAGGAACTATATAATTTTCTTCTTTCTTCTGGTTGAACAATTTCCTTTTCCTCATATAAAAATTCATCAAAAAATGATATATATAAAGCAATTATTCCATTCAAATTTATATTATATAAATTTTTATTCTGCTCTGCAATGTTTCGTTTTTCGGATTGCTAACAACTTTTATTTTCATATTAATCATCCATGTTTTTATTTTTCATTTAAGTACAGTACGTGGTTTTCTGAAGAGCAAGAGTGCAAACTAGACTGCATCAGCACTATTACAATATTTTTTTTTCAACTGGTTGGCATAGCTGCGTTTCGTTACAGGTCGTCGTTATGTATGATACACTTTTTTTTTCGAGCAATGTGGGTGTGTATGTGTGACATAGGTCGGTTAATTGATTATTACATACTTCGTGCTGGTTCACTTTTTTTGATTTGGCTGGCTACGGTAGTAGTAGTAGTAGAAGTAACAGTAGTTATTGTACAAAACGCGCAATTCGTCTTATTCGGGGTTTCTTTTTTCCATTAATTAACCAGAGCGATATAGAGAGAGAGACAGACAGAGGTGCTGATCAAATCAAACAAAACGCACTTGCTATATTGATTAGCAGAATTCAATTATTATTGGTAACATTTTCTTTCATCAGAAGAGAGGGGGAAATTAAACAAATTTTTATTCTATTTGTGTTCGTCTGGTGTATGCACTATTGAGCATTATTTGAAATACAAAACTTTTCCATTTTTCGAAAATAAGTGGCAGTTAGCATTTTCTTTGTCTAATAAATACAAAATTCTTTAGTTGCGGTGGAAGAGATTCTAAATAGTCACTGTTATTTTCACAAACTTTTATCCGAAGGAAAAATATACTCTCGTGTGGCGGATCTTTCTCTATTTTTAACATTTTTCTCAATTTTTTTCCAAAAAAGTAGAAGTGTGTACTAATCTTTAATTAAATAAAAACTCTTTCCTCTGACAGGTACAATACTCAATTTTAACCCTAAATTTCTTGTCTTTAGTAATCATAATATTGTTACAATAGTAATCATATTATAAAAATCTCTTACACTACATTTTATTATATCTAGGTAGCAAATTTCATATGATTAGTCAATTTCTGCCTAATTCGGTCCGATCGGTCGGTATTATTACTCAGAGCAAAGGTGTATGAGTGTGTTGTGTGTCTAAGAAAGTGTTGTGTGTGTGTATGTGTGTGTGAGTGTGCACAAAAAACACTATAAAATTGTGACTGACTGTCATCTACGCCCGAGTTGTTTGCATAAATTGAGGTGAATTCTGTAGAAATCTTAAATTTTTTTAGAATAATTTCAGCGGAAACAACCCAACTAATTAGTACTTCACCGAATTTGTACTTGACATCGTTTATAGTAACACGATCAAATTTTCAAAAAAGAGTCGGTGACTTTTGAGAGAACCTCTATTGTAATCATTACAAGTTGTACTGGTATTTTGAACTCGCGTTGAAGCCAATTCACACTATTGCCGTGGGCGCAGATGAGGCAACTAAAAAGTCGACGCAATAAAGGCACATCATCAATGAAATTAATAAAAAAAAAGCTAAGTGAACGCATATATCACCTCTCGGTGTCAGTGTATGAGCAGCGAATTGATCGATTAATTAATTAATTCATCAAAAATTTCCACTTTATTATTTTGCACAAACTGGAAACTTTTCTAACTTAAAACGATATGATATGGCAATTTGCAATTGTTTCAAAAATGTTGAGCTTCGAAGCGTCAAGCGCCTCTGAATATAATCATCAAGAGTGTGTCTAGTAAGTTCATCGTCAACGCGGCCATTCATTTATTTATTTATGTACAAAAAACGTAACCAAGAAGAGATTTTCGTGGAAGACGTTACATACACTGATCAGAGCGGCGGAGAAATCAATAATATATACTTCGAGCGAGTCGGCTGTACTCTTCAAAAAAATAAACTCAAAAAATATAAGACAAGATAATTACAGAAAAAGAATGGTTGTGTTAATTATTCATAACCATTACTCTCTTTCATTAAAGATTATGAAGCGCAAACGAAAACCCCTTTTTTTTAAATAAACTGTACGATAAACTAAGGATCAATCAATGTACACTTTAGTTGCAGAAGTAGGAGAAGAGTCGAGTCGAGAAAACACTTCTAACAGTAATGAACACAATCAATTTTTATAAAAAAAAAGCACTGCCGTCAAAGGCAGCGCTCGCTCGCTCGACCAAACTACCACCTTTTTCGCATTCCACGCACACGATTGTTTTTTATTTTTATAATATAGAGCCATTTTCGCACACAGCTATCTATCATTATATAAATACAGGGAGCGATATTGTTAAACTTGCTAAATAGAATTAAATCTGATCGCAAATCACCGTCGTGCACTACTTACTGCGTGTTTCATCTATATATGCATATAAATACGCTTCTTTCGTAGAAAGAAGCTTAGCTACGTCAAGTGGCTTTATCCTTAACGATTTACAATTTACTTTTAAATATCACTTTCCTTAGACAATTATACGTAGTAAAGTCGATTTTGAGCTAAAGCCACTTTGGTATTTCACGCAACGTATACGCCGTCTTCACCGTCCATCAATCTACCGGGAAAGAAAGGGGGATGTAAAGCTTTCGCGCAGGGGGTGTGATACCTCTCTCGAACTGACTAATTATGTACAAAAAAAAGACATCTCGTAGAAAGAAAGAAAGAAAAAAAAATTCATCTAGTGTGTTTGCTGCTGCTACACAAGCTAATTACATCATGATTTAATGTGATAGTCCCTCTCCGGAGCAGCATTTTTCTTCTCTATAGTAATTTTTACAAACACGATTACGGCTATGGCAGTCGGCGGCAAATGTTTTGGTTCACCAAGTGAGTGTCTATCTGCGCGCGGAGGCGACGTGGCGACGCGCGTCGGCCAGACGCTGCCGCAGGGCCGCCTGCCGCTTCAGAAGTTGTCGCTTGATGCGCTCCTGGCTGGCCTCCTCCTCCTGCAGGGCCATGCAGTAGTTGCTGGCCTCGCGCAGGATCGTCACTTTCGGCGCCTTCTCAGAGTTGAGCAGCTCCGGTATGAACTTGCGCAGCGACTCGAACGCGTTGCGCAGGTCGACGCGTCGCTGCCGCTCCATCGTGTTGTGCATGGTCCGTTTCCCGCTGCGCTCCTCGCTGTCCGACGAGCTCCGGCCCGACGAACTCGCCTGAGCGCATCGCTTGCGCGCCGCCGCTGACAGCTTTTTGCTCAGCCGGCTGCGCTTGTGGCCTCTCTTCAGGGTGGGCGTGGCGTCGTCCGAGGAGCTGTCCGAAGAGTTGTCGGACGACGAGACGGGGGCGCTCTTGCGTCGCTTGGCGCCGGCCTGCTGGAGGCGCAGGCGCAGGGGTGGCACCACGTCCTTGGCCGCCTCGGCGGCCATGGCCGCCAGCGAGTTCTGCAGCTCCTCCTGGAAGTCATGCGACTGACTGCTGCGTTTACTCGCCAGGGTGGAGGCGCGGGCGGCGCGAGCAGACTGCCGCGCAGACCGCTTTGTTGGGGTCAACTTGGCCCTCTTGACGGGGGAGCACAACTCCTCCTTGATGATGGTCGTCTCGGGCAGGGTCAACTCATTTTGCAGACTAACCACATCGATCTCCTCCTCTGTGAACAGAAAAATCGGAAAATTCAAAACATTTGAAGATTTAAAATTTTTACACATATTCCATCTGATATGAGCTCCCCTTAATTTTCCATTTTTCAAAGTCCGTTCTCCTTTCTTTTCCTTATCAAAGACAAACAAGAATTATTTACGATCGCGTGACACTTCCCGGCGCCCGGAGCGTTTCAAATAACCAGCTCTTGCTCGGCTTGCTCGTTTTATTTTATTTTTTTATTCCAATTAAAATCGGCCACGTACGAGGAAGATGCTGAGCGCGGGCGAGGCACCAGGCGGGCGATTGAACTTGAGAAAATCGCGAGCGGCGGTGGCGGATTGCCGCAGGAAAATACATAAGAGGTGTAAGAAGCAGAAGGGAATTCGTTCGAGGCGGCCGGTCGGCGAACATGCACGGCGGCGAGTTATGCGCCACGCCCAGGCAAGGACGCAAGAGTCAAAGGATCATTGCCTCAGCAGTCAGTGCGGCGAGCGAATCTCGCGCGCGGACCGAGCCGGCGAACAAGTAAGCGAGTGACTTCATCGTTCAAAGAGAAAAGAAAGAAAGAGCTGCGAGTGCATAACAAGTCCGCAAAAAGAGGCAGGCTGAGCACGACATTCCAAAGGCGGCTCCCAGAGCAGCTTCACCAAGTTGGGACAAATGGAGAAGAAAAGCAGTCAAGAGAGGAGGAAAATTTAAATATAAACAAAAGGGTCAAAGTTTGATATTATTGGAATTAATCAAAGATTTTAATTTTATTAGGACCAAAATAAACTAACGAAAAATTCTCGTTTCATTCATTTAATACAGTAATTATTGAAAATATATCATTGAAAATTATTTTGACATGGAAATGATGAGATCGGGCTTTTCCTCATTGCCAAATTTGTTGTTATTAAAAAACAAATGGCTTTACTAGTTTCAGTCACGGTCTGCGACAAATATAGTTCAGGAGCAAGAAAGATAAAAAAAAATCAGCAAAATTGATAAAACACAATTTTGCAAAAAAAAAATAAGAATGTTAAAAATCTCCTCAAGTGTCAATTTCTTCAAACAAATTACTTGGACCCTTTGAAATGAAATAATATTATTTTAATTTCACGAAGTGATTGGCTAATCCGATTTGCAAGCAATTAGCGAGTTGTGCGGTAAACACATGTCTAGTCGGAGACGCAATCCTCCCACGCGTCACGAGTCGCATCTGCGTGCAATCAATTCAAGTGCATCGCCCGACGCCGGGTGTGAATGGATGGCTGTGGCGACGGGGCAGATTGCAGCAAGCCGACGACAGCCAGCCGGTGCCAAAGCGAGTAACCTTCACATTGGCCCGCCGCGCGGTTCAAGGTGCGCGCACCGATATAGAAGATAAATCAAACATGGGACTAATTGAATCGAGAAAGGGGGAAGCGGGGCCCCTGGGGGGTAGGCAACTTGGGCGACGACTGCATCTGCGTGCGTGGGAAAAAGAGAAGAAACCTCGTCAGTGCATGCAAAAACTCGGGTAATATAAGAAGAAGGAGCGGCAACGTAATACTCGCGCGTAACTTGCTTGATTGTGTCTCGCGATTATGTGCAGAGAGAAAAGTAGTGATGGGAAATTTAATCTCCCGGCAGCAACATTGGCGAAATGGGCGAGTGACGATGGACTAGGGGAGGTGATTTAAATTTGTTATGAGGGTTCGAACAGCTTTGTTGCAACAAAAAAGATGAACATTTGCAAATTTTTGATAATACAATATTATGAGGTAAAAAATTGAAAAGTTTGGAAATTTAAATTTTTTAAACCCCCAAGTCGGAAGTAAGCAAAAAGGAAGTGCGTCGAATCTTTCGTCTCATGAATTTTCAATAGGCGAAAGAAACTTTTATTCCATCAATTATGCACCATGCTGCATGAATTCGTACGCACACGCGAAAGTCGTTTCTTTTTACGAGCTCGACGCAAAATTGCATTTGGAAACTGAAATTAAACGCGAGACGCAATTGCAGCGGAAATATTCATGGGCGCCCCTGGGGGCGCGTTTTTCGAGTTCTCGGCGGCACCTGCCCTAATGGCCGGCAAATTTCACCCTCAGTGCACATAATCGCGCCCCCGCTTGTACATGCAAAACAAGCAAATTAAGCGCGCGCGTGTCGGCGGCGGCGGGGAAGGCGTGGCATTTCTTTTTCGGCTACGAATTTGACGTCATTCACTTTGCGCGGCTCGTGTACGCCATCGATTTTACTCGGGGATGAAGGAACTTTGTGCTTGCGATGCGCCACACGCGCCCCGCATGGCCGAGGGTGGCGCAGAAGGAGAATTCCTCTCTCTCTATTTCGGGGGTGCGCGTGGAATCATCAAGTATTCCGAGGTTGGAATAGGGCCGGCCGACGGGGTGCGCGCGTGGCGTTATGGCAAATCGATTGCGCGCCGCAGCTTACGCAACTTGGCGAAATTCCGAATTAGGTAGGGTTGGTCCAGATGTCAAATATTAATGGCGCGGATGCGCCGCTGTTTTGTCTGTTGGGGAGGAACGAAAGAAAAGGAAGACTCTAAGTGAGTGCGGCATTCGTCGCAGTCGTTAAGATCTATTTCGGGAGCGCCAAAATCTAATTCACGCCGAGAAGAAAAAAGAAAGAAACTCGAGAGGGGTTGATAATGCTCTTTGTTCTTGCTGCAGTCTCTCCAAACTGGAGAAACAGAGCCAAAGAAAGATTATTCCGAACGAAAAATAGTCTAAATAAAAATATGAAATTTGATTATAAAAAATGAATAAAATATGAACTTTGTAAACAATTTAACAAAAATTATTATTGAGTAAAAATGTAACCCTGGAATAAATTTTTCACGAAAAAGTGTTTAGTTGTAAGAAAAATATTTCAAAAAAATTGTTTTTTGTAATAATTATTAAATTATTTTCATCATGATTTCACAGCTCATGAATTATGGCTGCAGCCGAAACACGTAGAGCAGTAAATATTGTTTTTTTCTTAAACAATAAACAACTTTAAAAAAAAAAAAACCAGAAATAAAGAAGACTTTTCCAGATTTTGAATGATTTTACAAAATTTCATATCCAATTAAATTTGTTATCTTGAGCTTAATAATCAATTATTAATCCATAACAGAGATTTGAAACGTCACTCGAGATCAATCCGAGTGGGCACCGGGCCGCGGTTTGGCGCCTTTTTGGGCCCGGCCTACGCAATCATCACTTGACTTTGTCAGCGAGATTGCTCTCGGCAAAAAAGAAAAGACCCGGCGGCGGACGGAGGCACGTGTTGGCAATAACCGCATCGGGGCCACTACTCACCCAGCCCAAAATATCTAGAGACGCGCCCGCCCGCCCGCCGGTGGGTCGCGGACGGACGAGGCCTGAAGGCCGAGGGGGTGGCGGACGGACTTCTTTTTGGCACCGCTCCTAAGTGCCTTCCTCGGCCGTTGCATTTTGCATGAAAAACTATAAAGCCGGGGCGGAAAAAGTGGTGCGTTGCCGCAAATGGGCAAAAATCGCCGGCAGACGGGGAGTAATAATAATGCCGCCGCCGCCGCGTTTGACGTCACACGCAGAAAAGGGCCCACGTGTGCAAGGCAAGGCTCGTTCGCCGGCCGGCGCTCGGGTGTGGCATCCACATGGGTCGATAAAACCGCCCGGCAGCGCTCGGTGCCGCGACCAACGTGGATTGCGCGAGTTTGACAGAAGAACGGCCGGGCCGTTCGGCAAAAAAGCCGGCTGCTTCTAATTGGGATCGCCCTCCGACCAAAAGTTAAAAAAGCTTTCTGGCCGTGACTGGAATTAACAAAAACAAGCTCTTTCTGAATAATTTGATTTATTTAATTTCTGAGAAACTTATTTTGGCAGGGAATTATCTTAAAATAGAGAAATAAAATTAATTAAAATTAATATTAAAAGAATTTTTTATAAAATTTACAAGTCCTCCCAAAACAGAAAGAGTTTTGAATGGGATTCCTATCTCGGAACGCCCAACCTAGGCGTCAGAATTAAGTTTTATGTAGGCAGGTGCCTCTCTAGGATTAATTTTTTCTTCCAAAAACCACGTCGGCGCTGCCAATTCGAAAAAAAAATCCTGCTCACGCAGCCCAATAAAGCGGCTGCGATGCGGTCTGGCGGGCTTTTGTCCCGAGAGGGGAGGGAATTCATTTATTTTCCTCCTTGTTTTATCCACTCACTTGTGGGTTTTACTTTTTAAATGCGCGCAGAGGAGTTTTAAAGGTCGGGCCCCGCTGCCGCTACTACTAGTCTACTAGTATTTCCTGCCGCGCTCTCCTCACAAGCAAATAATCACTGGGGCGCGCGGGGTGGGGGCCGCGAGCTAGCTCGGCCTTGACACATGCCACCGCATCCAAGAAAGGAGGAGAGGCACCGTTTCCCGCGCTTTTCGGCCGCCCGGCGTCTTTCTCTCCGCCGGCCGGGCTCTTTAAAGGAATTCCAATGTACCTGAGAGAGATCTTTAAAGGTTTGCCCTCAATTTCCGATGCGCTAGACACACCAACGACGCGCGAGGTCCACGCAATCGGCCCGGTTTGACCGAAAAAGGACACGAAATTGGCGCCAGTTTAGATGAGCACCAAATAGGACAAATTTATATTATTAATTTTGTTTAATAAAAAATTGCAATAAGAAGAAGGAATACTTAATGAATTGGAAATAACGCTGACGCAGTGCCAATAGCGTTGGTTGCGAGAAATAAATCAAAGAAAAAAAAATTGTATAAAATGCAATTTTAAGCGTATTTTTATCTCCGGCTAAACTATTTTTCTAAAAGAAATCAATTAAATAGATCTAATAATTTAAAGTGCAATAAATTTATTAACAAATAAATGTTTTCAAGCCAGAGATAGAGAACTTTTGGAACAAAAATAATTATAAAAATCGTGTATTGTATTTCTTAATTTTCGGATTTAATAACTATATTTTTTTACAACATTAAAAATTAATTATCATTTGGTGTACTAGAATGTTTATTTGATGGTACATATTTCTGTTAAATAACTCCAAGCAATAATTTTTTTTTTCTAATTTATGCACCAAGAGCATTGCTAAAAATTAACTTTTGAGATTTTTTCTAAGATAAAATATATGTCAGCTGGCTATAATTTTACTTCGGCAATTTTATAAAATAGATCGGAGTGAACGGACATATTATTTTAGCAAAACTGCGTCAGCGCGGTACTCTCAACTCTCGAAATTAAAAAAAAAATGCACAAAAATCAATTTATGCAAATTTCATGCTAAATTACAAAGAAAAACTCACCAGAATCGGAAGGTGTGCAGAGTCCGTAGTTGTTTGTGTCTGGTGGTTGTCTGAAGGCCGGTCGACCGTACGTGTGGTCGGTGATGTAGCTGGGGCCGTGGTTGAGGTAGCGCGAGTCGATGGTGCTGGTGGAAGAATCGACGCAGTCCTCCTCTGTCTCGGACGACGACTGGATGCTGTCCGTCTCCGAGTCTTCGTCCTCGTTGTTGGAATAGTAGCGCATGGAGTGGAACGACTCGTCGAAATCCGAGACGGGCGTCTCCGGACGGTGCTCGAGGTCCATGAACGACTGCTTTTCCATCTTCTTCAGCTCCTTTCGGGGCACCAGCAGACTGCGCGAGTTGGTCGGTCGGGGTGCCGCAGGGGTGACCACCGGGATGACCTTGCGCGGAACGGCCGGGGACGGCACGCAGATGTCAAAGGTCGGCGAGCAGGGCGGCGTGACCATCAAGTCGGCGTCGCCGTGCTCTTCGTGTCTGCAAAGTCCGGCCCACATGCAGTCGTGGTGGCGCATCTCGCTGATCGGAGACGGGTTGCTCTCCAGCGAGCTGGACAGCCGGACGATCTCGGACGCCGGCAGAAGTTCGTCTTCGTCCAGTGAGTCGAGGGGGCTCTCGTCCAGGATGTAGTGGAGCAGGTCGAACTTGTCCCAGATGGACTCGGACAAGGTGTCCAGACTGCTGCCCGGCTGCTTGCAGCTCATGATGGAGGCCAGGTCGTCCAGGTTGCCGGGCGCGCTGTGTGTGATGAAGGAACTCGCCTGGTCCAGCATGTCCATCGGGCTCCAATCGAGCTCGACTGACGAAGTGCCAAACGCGTCTGACGAATGCATCTTGTCTGAAGATTCGGGCATCAGGTGGTAAAGACTCGACATTGTCGAATTATATTCACCTGAAATCATAATTCAAATATCGATTTAGACTGATAAAATTATTTCAGAAAAATAAAGATAAATTCTTGATCTTATCAATCACGATAATCCGCAAAAGTCTGATATTATTTTTCAAACAACACTTTTGCAAAAAAAAATTTAACTCTACCTCCAATTATTTATAAAAAAAAAACCTATGTTTAAACATGAAAAGCGCATAATATAGAAATAAATTTCAGTCGCTGACAGATTCAAAGTCTTTGAACTTCTAAATAATTATTTTGGCAATCTCAATTTCCGGGATTATTTGTAGCTGCGAAAAAATGAAAATTTTACAAAACTTTAAATAAAATAAGCAAACAGGAAATTCTAAAAGATTTTAAAAAATTTGTAAATAACTGAAAACTGCCCAATATAATTTTAAGTTTGGGTACAAAAAAATATTATAAACTCTCATTATAATTTCGCCAAAATTTTGAGGTTCGTGTTTATTTTGAATTTCAAATTTCATTCAACTTTCAAACTAACAACCTTTTGTGTTTTTCGTTCATCCTGTCCTGGACTTGTACTTTTCGCGGTTAGCAGTTTTTCATTCAGAACCGCCGACGCTACGTCAACGTTGCGGAAAATTAATTCACTTTTCGTGTGTTATTGTTGTTTATTTTATTTCCGAATCTATTTATATTTGAATTTTGAACGCGCGTGGGCCATGTTTAACATTATTTTTCAATGAAAATCATCGCTGCCTACGTCGGTGTGACGCGATGAGGGGAGATGTGTGTGTGTGTGCATGTCTAAATCCATTTAAATGCCCGCCCGCTATCTGGCGCGGTCCGCACCCACCCCACGTGTCTCCCACCGAAAAGCCGGCCGGCGAAATTTGCACCGCTTTCCCAGGGGCTTTTCCAGCTTAGCACAGAGCTAATTTGTCGCTAAGGTGATTATACTGAAGTGAATACCTCAATTTGGAATAGAAGAAGAAAAATTGAATCAAAAAGAAATTCTTAAAATAAAATAAAAATTTTTTTTAAATATTGCAGAAAATTATTTATAAATTTATCGGAAAGAAAGATCACATAACTTGTTGTCAAACATTGGCGTTATGTATTTGAGGAATGCTGGAAAATTCCAGAGTTCCAAAATCAAGTGGTGACGAGAAAGGAATGCCGAAATTCCTACTCGACACAACATTTTTCGCAGGATTATGTAGAGGAGTCACGTGCCGCAAGAGGCGAAATCGCATCAGAGCCGACAATTGAATTACGAGTGCGAACATGTTGGGACAAAGTTTGACAGGTCGGAGCGCCGCCGGCCGGCTCGTGAATCTGCCTTATGGCGGGCTAAAAAATCGGTTTCCGGTGCGAAAGGGGCCGCGATTTTGTTCGCCCGGGCCTAATTTCGGTTAATTAAGTGGAAATTTGAAATTACCAGTCAAGTGGTGACAACGATGGGGCGTAATCCAAAATGCTGGGCGGGCACGGCACTGGTGCTGAATCGAGTCCAGGTTTTGCGTCAGGTTGCACAGAAACTGACACAAACACTATTAATCGCAGACTCCACGCAGGTGTATAGTCCTGATCTTCATGCCGCGGCTAGTGGTGCACTTGAATGATTTGCAACTGAACTGCCTGCACTGATCAGGGTTGCGGCGCGAGACCTACGCACGGACACGTCTGAACTTCACCGAATTCGAGCAGCCACTGCGACCGCTGAAAAAAGTTGGCCTGCAGGAGCCGGCTTCTTAATCTAACCTTGGTGGAAGGGAGGCCACGGCAAGCAGACGACGGGACTATGCCGGTGTATCCCTCCGCGTACACGAGCCGAGTTTGTCGAGCTGAGCGCCAATACTCGGTGATTTTCAAGCAACCGGTTTTCTGTCGCGCCGGTGGTGCACGCCGTAAACGCGTAACGCGGCTTCCAACACCGGTAACCGGTTGTGCGCTTCTGTCAAAAACCGACCGCTTAGCTGCCAACCTTAGAAAATCATTCAAGAATTATGAGTTTTTCATGTTTATGATAATCAGAGCAATTTGTTTCAGTGATCAAAGTTTTGATGGAATATATTAAAAAAAATTATAATTTTGTTTTGCTTAATTTTAATTTAAAATCTAAATTCAAATGATTTTCGTTTTTTTTGTTATCTTATCAAAATTTAGCTTCAAAATTAAAATGTATTTAATATAAAATTCATTTTATTTCTGTATTTTACAAAATTTAATTTTAATATCAAGCACCATCCATGAAACATGAAACAAGGAGTATAAACAACACCAGAATGTTATGAAAATAAAATGATAATTTTGAGATTTGCAGTCCGAAATCTAGTATTTTTATACTCTCAATCATAAAATTATCATTTTTTTTATAAATACAAATAATCTATGTTCACTTGCATCACATCATTCATATTTTTTTTCTATTTTTCAATTAGATGAAAATTACACAAAAAAGATTCTCATTAATTTGTTTTCATTGAAATATTGTTGTTGATTTTTTACTATTAATAAGGGCAAAATTAAATATAAATTAACTGTAAATTAATATAGAAGAAAATAGTAAAAGCTGTTGAGTGATTTTTGAAACATTGATTCCTTTATTAATTTTATGTTAAAAGAAGCAGATAAAATGTCCATAAATAACATTTTTTATTAAGAAATTTTTAAATGAATTTAATTTTTTATAACCAATCAAAATATAATATATATAATATAATAAATAATATGTTTTTTTAATAAATATTTAAGCTAAGCACTTAAATTTCTACTGTTTATCAACATGCAAAAAAATGCACCCACAAAATGCAAGTTCTTTTAATATTTATAATATTGAATCGCACAACACTTTTATTCACAAATTTAATTATCCAAGAAAAAAATCAAACGATATAACAAAATTATCATAGTCTACTGATCATTTTCGCTAAAATTGATTTTAATTGATTTTATTTTTTTAAACTTTTTTTATGAAAATTTATAATTCTTCAGTAATCCTCCTAATTCTCAATAAAGAAATTTCAGCATGGAAAATTAAGGTTATTAAATTCATTAAAACCGAATGATTTTCCTAATCTAGTGTATTCGTATGGCATAAATTTAATTATGTTTCATTAATAATTTTTACCACACAAATTTTCAGTGAAAATTTTCCGTCAGGTTGGCAATGGAGTTCTACCGAAATGGCGCTATTTCTCATGCTGCGGAGTACAATCTAGGTCATCAATAAGGCGGGGAGCCCAATCCAATAATGACGAAATAAACAGAAACACGATTAATTTTGAATTGAAAATTGGTCAAAGACGGTATTGAAAGAGATAGGTCACAAATCTCAACGCTGGCACCGCTAATGAGAGCAGGAATTCGGAAAAGCCGGTTCGCGGCACTACTTTGCGCCGCGGAGGATGTGCGGAGAGACAATCCGAGCACACGGGAAGCAAATTGCCGCAATTACGATTGAAAGCTCGGCACTCGGGTCGATATAGGGTAAAGTCTGTTCGGTTCCAGGCACTAAAGACAGGAATCGCAGCCAAAAGCAAAATTGGCTGATATTTTTCAATATAAAATAAAATAAAAAACACGGCATTTCTTTATTCTCTCCTGGGGACAAAAATAGGCTTGGTATTGTCCGGAATTCAATGGTTTATCCCTGAATTGTGTCCTCTCGCAATATCAGGGATTAAAGGTAAAATATCCCCGGATTGTCGAATCGTTCTCCCATAAATTGGTTTAAAAAATATATATATTCGAAACTCCCACGAAATTTTTTGCGACACTGAACGATTTTCCCCTCTTACCCCGAAGGCAAAAAGTGGCCTTTGGAGAGGGGAGAAATTAATAGGAGCAAAAAAAATAATAAACGGGGCGCACCTTTTCATTTTGTAATAAGTTAAATAAGTTAAGGGTTGATGGAAGAAGATCTTGAAAAAGGAGTCTCGCGTTTTATAACTTCCTGTATGAGCCCATTGAAAATATTAATTTTCTCAAGTGGCTACTTCAGCGGGGCCTTTGTGTCCAACGTCGAGAGCATGAGCGAGAGGAGCAACCGCACTCTTGCTCTATATATGAATTTAATATTTACACTTCTTACTTCTTGGCATTGTTGATTTTGCGGTTTCCATTATAATATTGGGAAGGCGATTTGAAAAGAATTTACTGAGCAGCAAAATTTGATTATCGGCCAAGAGGAGGGATGCTTCTTATACAATAGAGAGTGAATTGCGACAAAAATCATACGCTGGGGGCCATTCCTGTTAATTCAATTAGAAATGTAATGGTGATGGACTTGTAATGTATTTTTTCGGGGAAAGTCGCATTTCCAGAAGCGGATGGATGAATCAATTTCGGTCCCGCTGCGGGGAGGAACTGCTGCTGTTAATTACGTCGGCAGTGGAATGCGACGCCTAAATAAATGGTTATGGCTGGGCAAATAGCCGTCGGCAAACCAGCGTGTGCGTTATTACGATTGTCCTGCGTTATCACGATTGTCCAGATGATCCGTGTAAAATTACGACGCCAATTAGTGAGAGAGAAAACGCTCCCCTTTTTTCCTCTTTTTGCGACGCAGAGGCTCGGCCGTGTAATAAAACAGGTTCCTCCGAAATGGACCATTTGTCCGCACTGCTCTTCCGTGTGGTATTTGTGGCAAAATTAATTTCTTATTATTTGATCTAATAGTTGCAATTGTTGTCAATTTGAATGTAATCAAAAGAACCAAAACGGAAAATTGTCAAAATTGTAATTTTGAAATTATTTTTTCTATAGTGAAATTAAAGTTATTTTTTATCGACAAATTCTATAACAAATTAACTCTCAATTTAATGAATTTAAGGTGCAGAAAATCTAGGAAAAAGTACTACAAGCAATTAAAATAAACACAATTCGGTGAAGATGCTAATTTTAAATTTATAAAAAAATTCCCTACTTTGCAAATCAAACAAATTTAATATTCTTTATGTTTTATTTCTTTAATGATTATTAATTTCATTTTTATACGCTTACTTTTTTTATGATTTCATTTATAAGTAAATATGTTCATAATAAGAACAATAAAAAAAACTTAAACATAAAATATTAATTCTAATTTTATTGCAACAATAAATTATAAAAATTAAATAATTTTTTTTCAAAATATTAAAAATTGGTTTTGAAAACTACCAATTTGAACCGCATTTAAAGGAGTGTCGATTTTGACGCTTTTTTGTGAAACCATGATCGGGAAAAAAATGAAAAGTGCGGTCCTGTGGCGCTCTCATATTGCCCTCGAGGGCGTGCGATCGTCTCCCTTTGGCCCCCGCAACTCGTAATTTCATTATCTAGGCACTGAGATCAAACAGAGGCCGCCCATGCAGCATCCCTGTTTGTGAGAGAGATGCTAAAATTTTTCGCCAAGCAACAACGCAGAAGGGCTTGGGAGAAGAATGGTAATAGAGTGGACGCGAAATCTGATATCGTCTTGCATTTTTGACGAGATGAGCGTGAATCGAAGATGAAAAGAGCTAGTCGGGGCTATCTCAGGGGCCAAATAGGAGAATCTGGTGTGTGATATGAATTTGATTATTATTGTTGTGTACAGCTGAACACATACACACGCATTCAGGCCTGGGATGCCGCCGCCGCTGCTTTTTTAGAGGCTATAAATTTCAGCTAATAATAAATCCATCTCCTATTACCTTCCTCCACGTGGACTTTTTATTTAGCGCGCAACTCGCTCCTTTTCTCTTTTTTTGCGATTACAATTCCTCGTGCGCTCTCCTTCGTCTTCTCTCACCCCTTTTCATTCTTATATATATGTATGTATTCCCTTTTGAAAAACATTTTTAATATAAAAAAAGTTGTTCCCTTTTCTTTTTCTGCCCATTCTCTCTCTCATCCTTTTATTTTTCATAAGTCCTATTATTCTCGCTCTACGCCAAACTAATGCGTATTGTGTGCGTAAAAGAAAGGCCAGCCGTGGGAAAACTGCACACTATAGATGTATATAATGCGCGTAAATGTGTTTTCGATCCACCTCGCGCACCTTTCTTTCGCATGTAAATGCGCATGCAATATTATCGCCAACCTCCGCGAGACGAGCCGGATTCCTTTGTGATCTCTGCCGCGCCATTATTGTTAGGAAAACATTTACAAAGAGCCCTGAATATTATAATTTGTTATGCAAATAATTCCTGTTCGGCGTTCATTCGGCGAAAAAATCATCAACACGCGCGAGCTGAGGCCCCATAACATTAAAAACATTAGGGGGTGAAATTCTTTAACCTCTTCTAGCCCGTATAGACAAAGATTTTATTAACAGTTGTCAATTGATGAATTTAAATCTTTCCGCATACGTACAATAAAATTCGTCAATAATATATATTTTTTTAATGCTTTAATTAAAATAAAGAGGGCTGAAGCAGATGTATCATTTTTGTAATTCAGCAGCATTAATCAAATAAATTTTATTTTAGCCGCTATAACATAAAAAAACATGAAACAATCTAAAATAAATATCTAAGCAAAAGGAGCAGAAGTACATAAATCCCCATTTTTTATACTGTATTATTAATCCATGTCTTAAAATTAATTACTTTTCTTGTATTATTTATTTTTTTTCTGAACCATATATCCATAATTATAATATTTGGTTCAATTTAACAAGCTAATATGTTTCAATTTCGTTTGTAAATTTCCAGTTGATCTAGGAATTTAAATTTTTTTTTGTCTTTTCTTCATTTTTTATTATCCCTCATCCATTACTATGTTGCAGTTTAATGAAAACAATTTG